GATGGAACTGGGAAGCAAGAGAAAACCTAACCCTCTGAAATGCTATAGACATATTGGTCTGAACTCCTGGTGGGAAAGCACAGGAGATGAAGTAAATTACTACCCCTAGCCATTACTAGTTTGACTCCATCGTATCTACACTCAGAGTAGATTATAAGTAGTAGAAGAGAGTTGTGAAAAAAAAGTATCAGAAATGAAGGGAACCTCAAGTCAGGTTCCAGCTTTACTGGTTTCTATTGTATGATCTTAGACAAGTTACCAAGCCTCCTTGGGTACCGTAGGAGGTATGCCATAAAACACACAATATATCTCCTTCTTTGCGAACAGTTGTCTGTGCCAGGATATTTTGTCTACTTAGCCTCCCTTCCTCCCCATCAAGATTTTACTCCTGTTCTGTCTCTGTTTCCTCTGAATTGAAACATTGACTCCTGGATGTAAGAAACTTTCCAAGGACTCGGAAAATAAGAGAATCCTATGAAGGTCAGGAAGTGCCTGAAATTTAAAAAGATTTACCATTCGCAACCCAGGTTTCCATGAGCAGTTAAAACTGACAAAGAGACAGCTCTCCCACCTGCTCTGCTGCCTGCAAGTTCTGCAAGTCATTTCAGGGATAAGGCTTTCATGAGTTGTTACCCGTGCTGGGGGCGGACTTTCTCATGACGCAGTATTTAAGGCCATGCTTCTGTAAGTAACCCCTTATTTAGACTCATCTACAAATTCCCAACAAAACCACTTGCTAAAAATTAATCCTTGTGTGCTCTGTGAAGATGTGGTGTTGTGATTGGTTTAATAAAGAAGCTGATTGGCAATAACTGAACAGGATAAAGTTAGGTGGGAAAGCCACACTGAGAATGATGGGAAGAAGGGCAAAGTGAGAGGAGATGCCAGCCAGATGCAGAGGAAGCAGGACATACAGAAAATGAGGTAGCAAGCCATGGGCCACATGGCAGAGGGTAGATATAGAAACACAGGCTAATTTAAATGTAAGCATTAGTAGCAAGTTTGAGCTATCAGCTGAACATTTACAGTTAATTCTCTGAATGGTAATTTGGGAGCAACTAGTGGGACAGGAAAAGTCTGTCTGCACCACTGATTCACTAGGCTAGGCTCGGATGAAATCATTTCTTCATCCTTTTGTCTGTACCTAGTCTGGGGTGAACAGATGTCTGTTCAGGTCTCCTCAGAAAAAGTCCCACATTGACTCCCATAATTCTCTGCAGTGAAGATGAGCTCACTGATAATGTTCATGCTGCAAAACTCCATTTTACTGGAAATACCAGCAGCATTTGACACAGAGCTGACTTCTTCCTTAGGTATTTAATTTTTTTAGGGTTCAAAGGTATCACACTCCCTTGGCATTTCTCCTAGCTCCCTGATTGTTCCTTATCACTTCCTGTTGCCTTACTCTTGCCTGAAAGTCAGCCCCCTCCCTCGGATAAGCAGATACTTTCCTGATTTGTCACCCCCTGCTGCTGTGGCTTTGCTAGGACTTACTCTTTTTTGTTTAAGATTCGTCTCCCTGTGTAGCAGTAGACAGCCTCATCTTTTCTAGGTACTCCAGGGTGGCCTCAAACTTGCAGTAATCCTTTTGTCTTAACCTCGTGCATGAACTTTCAGTATAGGCTTACACCACCACGTCTGGCTGTTTCGGGTTGTTTGTTTGTTGTAATATGGTTTTACTACATAGGCTAGGCTGGCCACAAACTCATGACCTTCCTGCCTATGAGTGCTGGGAATACAGGTGAATGGGGCATGTTTTGTTCTGTGTAAAGTTATGTCTGTCTGTTGGTATGCACATGTGGATGCACTTGCGGCAGGATGGAGACAAGACCAGAATCAACCTTGTGGGTTGTTCCTCAGGAGTTGTATACAAAAAGTACCATACTTTTCCCTTTGAGTGAAGGTCTCTCACTGGGACTTGTTGATTGTCTAGGCTGGCCAGGTAGTGAACTCCAGGAATCTTCCTGTATCTGCCTCCCCAGTAATGGGGTGGTGAGCATGCACCATCAAGACTGACTTTGCCTGAATTTTGAAGTGGGTTCTGGGGATCCAGCTTAGTTCCCGCTGCTTGTTGTAACAAATATTTAACTGTCCATCTCTGGCGCGGGAGAATTGTCTGTATTCTGTCAATCATGTTATCAATGAACGCTGATTGGCCAGGCAGGAAATATAGGCGGGGAAACCAGACAGGAAGTAGAAATGATGTAATGAGAACAGGAGAATTCTGGGAAGGAGGAAGTTGATTCCTCCCACTCCTGCCCAGACCACTGAAGCAGCAGGATGTGATCTGCCCCACTGAAACAAGGTACTGAGCCACATGGCTAACATAGATCAGAAAAACGGGTTAATCAAGATGTGAGAGTTAGCCAGTGAGAGGCTAGAGCTAATGGGCCAATCAGCTTATAATTTATGGAGACCTAGGTGTGATTTTCTTTAGGGCTAAACAGCTGGGGGTACCGAACAGGACAGAAACCCAAACAAGCAGGCCTGGCCCTTCATGTTACACATCTCCACTAACTTTTGGTCTTTTTGTTTGTTTGTTTGTTTGTTTTGGTTTTGTTTGTTTACTTAGGTTTTGAAGCAGGGTCTCACTCTCATCCAGACTGATCAGGAACTTACTCTAGTTCTAGCTGGACTTGAATCCATAGTGATATTTCTACCTTAGCCTCCCAATGATTAAAATTGTAGGCATAATCCAGTGTTAATAGTCAGAATGACATCAATTGAGTCATGCTTACCATTGCTTAAAGCTTTTCACTGACTTCCTATCTTACAATAACAGCCTCTAGCTACGCCCTTCTTCTCACCCCCAGAGTCTCTTGGATATAGTCCCTTTCTCTGCTCTCCTCTGCTCAGTCTTCACAGTCATCTTCCCGTGTGTCTTCAACATTCCAAGAATTCCCCATCCCACTGCTTTTGTGCTGGGTTTTCATTTCACGAGAATACTTAACCTTGTGTTCATGCGTACCTACTCAACGATGCTTGGAGAACATCTCATTTAAAACTGCAAGTTGTAGCATGAGTGCTGTCCTGGGAATAATAAGATAAAAATAAATTTATTTTAGCATGCTCCATTTAAAACTGCTCTTTTTTTTAACCAAAGCAACACTCATTAACCTCAAGTAACAAAACAAACATGGACCTTTATAATTGATTTTTTAAAATTATTTGGCTTTTCCATTAAATTGCTTAGGTGGTAAGCTTGACCAAGATAGAGATAAAAAAAAAAAAAAACTCACTTGTTCACTGATATAACTCAAGTAGGCAGTTAGTAGTATTTCTTAATTTGAATAAATAAGGTGCTGTATTGGTGTTTGAATATTTAGTGATATGCTTGGACTGTATTAGAGCATGTGGCCTATCAGGCTAACACTGAGGATAGCTAAGAGAAAGTCTGTAGGGAAGGGTGTGTGTGCATTCCCTTGCCTTTCCCTTCCCCATTCTCCCTCAATTTCCTGCTATATTTTCTTTCTTAAGGTTCATCTAATCAGAGGCCCCAGAAAAAAATGTCCAATAACTTCAATCTTCCAAGCATTTGTATAAACTAGATGATCTACTTATTCTTGATTATGTGCTAATGTCTGCTATTTCTCCCAAAGCTTTCCATTTTAAGAACTAAAAGTCATCTTTAGTCTAAGGAATGTATCTTGAACTGCACTTAGGGACTTCAGTGAGCTGAATAAAGAAGGAATACCAAAAACAGTGTGGTTTTTATGAGGCCTCTAAAATCTCATTATGTGGGTGGTGGCCAGGTCTGTTTCATCTGTGGAAAAGAATATATTCTTTACAGAAAATTGGCCCAAAGAGAGTATGTAATTACAAACACTTCAGTAAGAAATAGAATGGTAGAGTTCAGACTATTTAAAAAGAGCCAGACCATGGATGGACATCTTTTCTATGAAAAGCAATAATAAATTTATTTCCACTTTTTCAAAAGCAAGAAGATATAATAGTAAGTACCTGATCCATAACCTGGAGAATTTCTTCTCTGTGAGTCTCCATCTCACTGGAGTATTAGCTATATAAATATTCTAGGTATAGCTTAAAATACTGTGTTGAAAAGGCAGGCATTGCATATGTTCACTGAAGTCATTATATTTTACTGATTAACTTAATAAATCTTTCTTGGGTTCTTTTATTTTATAAGCAGTGTGCTAGAGAAGTTAGAGAAGTGTGATATAGCCCCTGGCTAGTGGGAATATTAAGATATAAGGTAAAATATGCTTCCTGTTAAGTGTGTACTGGTTTGAAAGTGACGCTGAGGTGTGACTGACGTAAACAAAGGGGTCAGGGAAGAAACCATGACAGTGAGACATGAGCTCATCAGGGCAAAGGAGGGATGCCATTATAGACCCAGCGAAGCTATGATGTAATCCCACAAAAAGTGTAAAAGAGAACTTTTTTTTGAGAAAAAAATAGGCAAAACAAAGTAGACTGCTTCAAGCAACAAAGCAAACATACTCCAAATAAGAACTATATGAAATAGTTTGAAATAAAGAAAAAAATCAGAAACAATCTTAGGACTTTGTTTTATTCAATTCTCAATTTAAGCAATGTTTTATATGTGCAAGATCTATATCACGAGAAATTAGTATCACTATTGATGAGCTCTCAAAATCCATTAGCAAGTATAAAAACGTATTATATACTTAGTCAGTTAAACAGAACATCAAACATATCACTTTTTACTAAGGTATAGTCCATGAATTTACTAAGACTACAATAAAAAAACAGGGATGGAAAGATTGTAAGTGCCAGAACACCAGGAAGTCTGGTATGAGACTGAACAGTGCCAACATCAATAGACATGCTAATGAGGAAGGGGAACCCTGGGGCTTTACATCCCTGGAAAGAGACCTAGAGACCACAGACAACTGACATCTGCAGAGAGAGGGAGAGGGCACCTCTTCCTGGGATCAGCTGCCTAAATAATTGTCCAATACAAAATGATCAGTTATGAAGTTGGATATGCACAAACAACAAAAACAGATGCATCAGGCTGTATTTATATATTTGTGCAGACACATGTAGCAATAATAATTTGAGAAGAAGCTATTAATTTAAGAGTGATGGGAGGGATATGAAGGAAGGAGGAAAATGACTTGGAAGGGGTCGGAAGGAGGATAGTAAAGGGGCAAAGTGATATAATTATATTTTAATTAAAGCTATAAAAATAAAAATAAAATTACAATAGACATAGGAATTGAAGCTAAACAAGGTATTTCTGAAATTTACACACACACACACATCAGGACAAAGAAAGGAAGCCATTATAGATGTTTACATAAGTATATATACATGTAGCTTATATGTTTGTATATACTATAGATAATATAACATATATAAACAGTAAAAATAGGGGAATACAGAATTATTGTGCATGGGGATTGTTACTAGTTTTGTAATCTACTAGAACATATTTAAAAGTTATATTGGCTAAAAAAACAATATGAAAATCACTTGAAACACAAATTATTTAAGAAAACCAACACACACACATATATCACACACTGTATAAAATAGGTGAGGTCAGTATTTTGTGTCAAGGGAGATTATTTTCTAGGTACTAATCATACTGGTATCAACTGATAGCAACTGTGAGAAGTCAAACTCGTAGATTTTATACTTTACATAAAAATGCATGTCTAATGTTTCATAGTAAGAAATGTTTGAAAACTCAGAATTTTAAGTTGGAAGCACTAATTATCCCATAGCAAACTGTAAAAAAAAAAAACAAAAAAAAAAATTAAAGCGCAAATGAGATATCCCAAAAAAGTTATAAGTGCAGACTGGGGTTCAGAGTAAGGTGCTCACCCAGCATGTTCAAGTTTTACAGTTGAATCCTCAACAGCATGCCTGTGATAACACACACACCTGCACACACACATATACTAAACACATATACCAAAGACACACACAAATACATACATACATGGACACACACAAACACACAGATACACATACACATATATATACACACACAAACACACCAGATAAAGATCAGTCACAAGAACCTGAGTGCTTAAAGTGTTTCTATAAGCATCACTGTTCAAGTAAAGGAACAACTAATACAGCAAACTTGTATGTCTATGTAGTGGGCCACAAATTCTGTGATTCTGGCTTTGCTCGTTGCACCCTGGCTTGGCCTTGATCTGTTGCCTTATTTTCACAGTTGGCTGCATGAATGTAAACATCAGTGAGCTAGAGTCATAGCTAGTCCCAGGACTCTGAAATATACAAACTCCCCATGTTGTCAGTTCTCAGGGGAAATAAAGGGCGGAGGCTGCGTCCCCACCTGCACTTGCCTGCTACCACTGTGCAGGGCTTTGCGGCTCCCTTTGCATTTCAGTGACATCTACTATGGAATTAGGAATTCATCCCAGCACTACTTGAAGGTATGGTGGGACCTACTGCTATATAATTATGCCAAAGGTAAAACCATGCAATAGATCTACAGTGTGTGTGTGTGTGTGTGTGTGTGTGTGTGTGTGTACACTGTCATTCAGACAACAACCAGTTAGAAAGAATAATTCTTTCTAGGAATTCTGTAGCTAACAGTTGGTAGGCTGCTGGTCCAATTCAGCATCTTCATTTCAAACAAAGAAGAGGAACATGGCACCTGTGACACAGGTTGTCAGCTGGGCTGTAGTGCAGTGGTAGAGGACCCTCCCTGGCTTGTGCACAGTCCTGGGTTCCCTCTGCAGCACTGCAAAAGAGAAAATTAGTAAAATTGAGTGAGTGGATATGTTGTGGCTGTTTTTACTCTTTGCTCTTTTGGGGACCTGCCACCCAGCTCCCAAATAAACACATATGGAGTCTTGTTATTACTAATGAATGTCTGACATTAGCTTGGCTTCTTTCTAGCCATTTTGTCTTGACTTATATATAAATTATACTGTCTGTCTTTTGCCTCTGGACTCTTATCTTTCTCTATTCTGTGTATCTTTCTTTACTTCTTACTCTATGACTTGCTGTGGAGCTGGTTGGCTGGCCCCCGATGTCCTCCTCTTTTTCTTGCTTCTTCTCCTTCCTTTCCCCTGTTTTTCCCCCTGTTAATCCTCTTTGCCTGCCAGCTCCACCTACCCTTTCTCTGGCCTTGCTATTGGCTGTTCAGCTCTTTATTAGATCAATCAGGTGTTTGTAGCACAGCTTCACAGAGTTAAACAAATACGACATAAAAGAATGCAACACATCTTTGAATCATTAACATAAATGTTCCACAACATAAACAAATGTAGCACATCTTAAAATGTTCCACACCATGGATAAATAAACAATTGTCCACCTTAGTTCAATCATTAGTATTCTGCTTTCACTCAAGTCTGAGTCTACAGTGTTAGGAAAAGCATCTAGGTTACCTGTAGAGTGTGAAAGAAAATCAAATAAGGAAAGACATCAACATTTAGAGTATATTTTATCTTCAGATTCTACTCTCCAGTCTTCATTCACTGTATTTTGAAAATGTAGCCATGCCTTGTCCATGACTATGCTAATTATGTCTGCATCTCCTGGTTTGGCCTTGAGTGGTTTATCTTCAACAGGGAGCACAGAAACCAGCCTTCTTACTGCTCACTCTTCAGGGTCTTGCCCTTCTGTTTTAGGATGCCTACGGTCAGAAAAGATTGCTGCGTCTGTGGAAACAAAGATTTCCTCTGTGCCATACTGAGTGACATCATTTCCTTCAAGACATGGGTCCAAACTTTCCCAAAACATTAGCTGTCTTTTCTCCCCCTCTGAATTACTTCTTTTCAGGTTGTGCCTTGGTTATATATTGCATCAACTTTTAGAATTATGTATTATAATTAATAAATTTTATCTTTTCTTTCATTCAGATCAACAGGCACCATGAGGTACTCACAAAAGGCAGAAAAGTCTATTAAATATTTTATGAAATTTTCTTTCTTGGGGTACACAGTCTGTGGAAGAAATGGGAGGAAAATATTCAAAGCAGCCTTTTAAAATCACTTATGGAAGGAACCCTGTGTGGTGGCTCAACCCTTCAATCCCAGCGCTTGGAAGGCAGAAGCAGGCCCATCTATCTCTGTGAGTTGGAGGGCAGCCTGGTCCCCGTAGCAAGTTCCTGAACAGCCAGAAATAGAGAAACTCTGTCTCAAAAACAAGCAACAAACAAACAAACAAACCCCATAGCAACATAGAAAACTAAAAACACACACAAAAAAATTACATATGGGTTTTTGTCTTCAACCAACTCATTATATTTATTGTGTAAGTACACCGAATCAGAAGAAAGTTTTGTACTTATTTCAGAAAAAATTTACTTTTTTCACACAGCTATATTTGATAGACACAGCAAGCAATGGCGATGTGTTAGCCGTCATTGACTTCAGTAGTAAATGCTCGAGGATGGCATTGGACAATGATTAAACTTTGCTGTAAATTTCATATTTTTTTATTTAATAAAGAGTTGAAAAGTCTTCATTCACCATACTGTGTATTCAAGTGTTAAGTGGACATAAGCAAAAATGATTTAAGCAAGGAATGTTCGGTGGTATATGTACCCCTGGCCCTCGGCACTTAGAAAGGAAGAGTTGTCACTTCAAGGCAAGCCTAGATTACAAATCTGAGGCCCTACCTCAAAAGAAAAAAATATAAAATATAATTTTATAACTGTGATAACTGTATGAAAAATCATGAACTTGTCAAACAATTTGACTGAAAGAAAACTTTAAATATGTGGATTTGGACATTCTTTCGCATGCTATGAGTACAGTATCTGAAGAATGGTTTTTAATACCATAAAGTATATAGGAAGAGCAAACTTCAGACTATGGAGAATTGGAAATTTGCTAAGAAGAAAAAAACTGTGGTTGGCAATTGGCTCAGGGTTTAAAAGAGTTTGCCAACAAGCCCTATTGATTATCTGAGTTCTATCCTTGGAACTTTGATTGCTGAAAGAGGAGAGAAAAGACTCTCAAAGTTATCCTCTGACTTCCATGCTCCCATAAAAGACTGGCAGTGCATACACATACAGAAATAAATAAAGGTAATTAAAAAAGAGCTTAGATGAAAAATTTAGGTAGAGATGAAAGATACTAGAAGAAGGAAGAATAGTAAATAAGCCTATTAACATTAATGATCCATGACATAAGGTCTTGAAAGATGTTTGCAGAGGAGCGGACAGATCTGGATGATGTGATAAAATGAGAATTCCACATTTCCTGATTTTTGTGGGCAGGAAGAGGCAATGAAAACCTATTTTGTGCCACAGATTTCAGAGGTCCCTCAAAGACAGGGTAGCATCTTTTCCTTTTTGTGTTAGTCGGCTTCTGTTGCTATGACAAATTACCAGAAAACATTATTTCGAAGGATGAAAGTTTTGTAATAATGCCTGGTATTAAGATTGCCTTGGGGCCATCACCTTCTGATGGGTAAGGGACAGAAGAAGAGGAAGATGGAAGGAGAGAAAAAGAATGAGGACTCAGAAGGACCAAGGACAAAATAAATCTTTAAAAGGTATGTTCCCAGTGACCTCCTTCCTACAAGTAAGGTCTGACTTCCTTAAGTTTTGACCACCAATCAATAAATAGCTTATTAAACTAGGAATCCATCCATTAACTCATTCATGATTCAGCTGCCTCCCAAATCCCCATTTCTGAGCGTTGCTTCCCTGCAGACCAAGCTTCAACACATGAGCTCAGAGATAGCACAAATGAAGTAAACCATCATGCTTGTTCTGTACCAATTTCTAAGGCGCTAGGGCAGCATGCACAGCACGTGCTTAGTAAGTGCTCGAGGAGCTGACGTGGTAGCCTAGACAGGAATCCATCGCTCACTCCAGCAATCTCCTAAGTACAACTTTGCCACTGATGAATCCAAGTCCAATAAGGACTTCAAAAATATTTATGAGTTGTTCTATTCAGTATTAGAGTGCTATCTCAAATATAGTTGATTAAGAAAAATGGGGCTGGAGGTAGTTCAGTTGGTAAAGTATTTGCCTCAGTTGCTTGAAGACCTGAATTCAATCCCTAGGACCAATGTACTAGTCTGGGCATAGTGGTCCATAATGGTAATAGCAGTACTGGGGAGGCGGAGACAGGAGCAATCCAGAGGCTCACAGGCTATCTGGTCTAGACTAAATGGTAAGGGCTAGGTCTGTGTGAAGCCCTGTCTCAAAGGCAGGACATGGTTCTTGAGAATGACATCTGGGATTATCCTCTAGCCTCACACACATGCACATAAACATGTCCCCCATCCCAACATCATATATACATGCATTTGTACATGTTGAACACACACACACACACACACACACACACATCTTCTTGGGTAGGGATAAAGCCTGGTTATCAGGGTGTTGCCAGAACTGCAAAAAGTAGGTGAAGTGGTCCAGATGTGGCCCCAACCCTTACAGGCAGGAGGTTCAACAGTTCAAGGTCATCCTGCACTGTAAAAGGAGTTTTCAACCAGCAGGGATACAGGAAACATGACTCAAAGCAACAGTCAAACAGAAACTAAATCAAACCAAACCAAAACAAAACAAAACAAAAAAAAAACAACAGTTTTAGGACACGATATTACGATTTAGGTCACAGACATTTTCAAGGAGTTTTAATACTGTATTTATCCCTTCTAGGTTATTTTATTCTTGTTTTTTTTTTAATGACTAGGAGTCCAAACTTCCATTCTCAGTTTAGAACATTGGTTTTAGTATCAAGCAAATGGCTGGGTCCTTCTGCTCTGCTTGGATAGAAGGGCAACGTATATCTCTAATGTTGTCCACAGTCCAGTCCTGAAGATTCAAAAGCCCGTAACTTGGATGGATGGTGTCTGAGGCTCAAAGCTCCAAGTCCTGCCAACCAAAGCCTTGTGATGAAGCCAGAGGCGTATGTCTAGCTTCTCAGATAGGAGGCTTATTGCTCTGGGTTTTGATTTTTTTTTTCCTGTGGCTCAGCACTCAGCAGTTAGGCAGAACTCAGCTCTTGGCAGGAGCAACAAACAGGGCCAGCGAGTCCGTGCTCCAAGCCTTGGTGTCATGGCTCAGCCTCTAACACTGGGCAGTGTCACATCCTTCACTGTGAGTATCGGGATCCTGCGTCCTTCAGCTGACAGCTTCCTGGAGCATCGTTCAGTGACAGGGACCTTCAGCCCCTCATCTTTGGTTCCTCACAACTTCTTGGCTTTTTTTCAGTTTAGCTTCCTGTGGCCTTTGCACTTGGTTGCCCTTTGGATGTCATTATTTACTTGAATGCTGCTGTTGCTTCCATCCATGCCACAGCAGTCCTAGTCATTTTCACCACTCTGTTATGGCTGCAGCGTAGGTATTCTGAGCTCCACTGGCTCTAATCATGATAAAACCCAATGTAGGCAAGAAAAGACCGGGAAGGGGCTTCTAGTGGGCCTAATGCTATAAGAGCAAGGGCTTGTCTTGACCAACTTAAGCTGAAGTAAGATAAGAGTGGTTGTGCAGCCAGAAAGGACTGCAACCCACGAGTGTAGTTTACAAACTGGGTGGATCTAATTTATACCAATCAGCACAGAATTTTCTTTTTCATCAAGATCAATGGCAGCCGAGTATAGGTTTACCCCTTCTATCTGTCAGTCATAGCTTTTTGCTGAGTAGGGCCTGATTGATGACAGCCTCTGAAAGGTCGTATCAGCCAGACACAGGGCTCTCTAGGGAAGCTGTAGGCCAGGTCATCTAAAGTTCACTGGGACTTGCCTTGCTTCCAGGGGAAGTTTGCATTGCCAACACAGGCTGTGGACTCCTACACAGGATCCTGCCTTCAGCAGCCATAGTTTTACTCAGCTGCGGGTGCCATTCGTTCTGGACTGCTCTCCACTCAAGGATATCCGGCATTAGGGACGCTCTATCAGACAGCCTACTCCCAACAGTTTTAGCTGTTCGTGGAGAACCAGCACAAGGTGCTTATAGACAAGGACTTAACCAAGTCTTAACTGACATTCTTTAAAAGACTGCACAGTGATCAACAATGTTTAACCCTTGCCCTAACACCCAGGGAGCTCTGGGTCCACTGATCTGTCTCTGTTTAAAAACATTTGGTTTCTACAATTGATGTCATTTCTATGTGCCTTACCAACTGTTCGCAATACATCAAAAGTCACACACAAAAACCATTTAGCACTCTTGTAATCTCCTGCCTACTGTGATGCTCCCAGCTACCTGCAGCCAGGCTTACCAAAGGGAAGGCAACATCCTGCAGTTGTAGGTCATGTGATCAGTGTCTTATCAGGTCTTGGACCAAGGCCAGAGTGAATGAAAGGCCAGGATTCTACATGGATTATAAATTAAGTCAAAGCTAAACCTTAACAACAGGAAAGATTAGCAGTGGTTACTCATGGGCAGCTGGATGACCCTGCAACTAAGAAGACCACGCAGATGTGCTGGAAGAGATGGAAGAAGAGCAGAGTATTTATTGGAACCGGTGGCGTCTTAACAGGATTCAGGCTCATAATTTCCTCTGTGACTCAGCTGCCGTTGCACAATCAATGCTGTGAGAGCCCATTTCCTCAAGACGTAGCCATGGCGCTACACCATGCCTTCCTGATCCACATGATTTTAGCTCCTCTCATTTACCAAAACATGTTTCAGAATGCTGCGTTTACCTGGTAGACAGACTACTTTATACCTCATTAAAAATATCTTAAGTGCTTTCTCGTACACACTGATCCATTTATTTTTTTCTTTTCTAAGTCTAACTTAGCCATCGAAGTCTGAGCTATAAGCTCTTCAGTATTTCCTGTGTTATTTTGAGATTCTTTTCAAAAGAAGCTTTGGTCATGTGCTGAGAATAAATGTCAGTCAAATCATTATTCTTCATTCAGGAAGAGCCCGAGAGTGGGGGAAAGGAGGGAGGTTGTTGCAACCCCAAAGGCAAAATCTCCAGTCTAGAAAAGTGGATTCCTTTTCAACTAACAGCAGAAAAACAACCTTGAAAAAAATAAACATCTTGGTCGAGACAAGTTTCCATCTCTGAAAACTGGTCTTCCCTGAGAAACCAAACCACAAATATGTATAACAGGCGACGGGGCAGACTTTGAAGGAATGGCAGACTAATTCTAAAATGTATATGCTCTAGTTTGTGAGCTTTTATTTGCTGATACCTAATCTTTATTATGGGGTAGGGGAACAATTACTTTCATATCCACAGTTGGAAGGGCATTATTCCTCATGTTCAAGAATTTAGCATTAAGTTAAATCTCTGTTATGGCTAGTCATTAATAACCCACAGTGAAGAACATAAATCACATTCTTCTAGGGCCTTAGCTCTCCTAGGAAATACATATACTGGTGAGCGTTAAGTCTGTTTACTCATTTGCCTTTCTATGTTAATAAAATTTAGGATGCTGTCATTAGAAGCTGGTGTTTGGCTGTTACATTCCTTTAGGGAACGCACTATGTTTAGACAGAGCTTTAAAACAATCGGCATCCGGCCCAAGCATCTGATAAACTGTAAGGCAGGAATAGGTACTTTAATTTTAGAGTCACTATGACCGACTTCCTCTCCTTGCAGGTCTGTGGTTTCTTGTCCCCAGGACCCAGCATTCAGAGGAGCAAGTTGCCACTGGAGTTTGCATAGACTGAGGAAGAAATGTGTAAGTAAAGAAGCATTTGCTATCGGAGTCATGATCTCATTACATTTCTTGGTTTAAGGAGCATGACCTTCTCTGTAAATAATCTTAAACATATTGAAAGAATTAAAGATTTGCTCTATCTGATAAATCATGGCGTTGGTACAGCTTGTCTTAATAGTGGGGTGAGGGAAGAGAATCCGAGGATGTTCAGCATAGAGCAAAGTTATTTGAGGAGGTATATTCCAAAATTTGTGTTAGCGTAATATTTTCAAGGACATTTATGTTTATACATTTTCTTGTTCTCACCCTAGATAATCATAGGGTTTCCTTGCTTGATGGGAAGAAATGAAGAACAATCAAATTAGATCTTCTGACCTCTCACTTCTGACCTCCAGCTAAGGTTATTAAAAACACAAAAATGCTGATTTACAACAAACGTGTTTGTCCACATCTAACAATGTGCAGTGGAATGGCTGTGTGAAAATTCTAGCCTGGTTTGTTCCTGTAGAGAGAAATCTTTGAAATCCAAAGGGACACTTCTGAACTTCAAAAAGGTGTGATGGCCAATTGTTTAAGCTCCGGTGAGAAAATTCTCCCACGAGTTCACAGAACACGGTGTTATGATGTTAGAAACTCAGATGCTTTTTACACAGGATGTTATCCACTCACGGGAGCCTGCTGCTGTGATGTGGGAAGTACTGGCTTCCAGGTTTACAAGGATGAGGGCTGTAAACAGGATGCTGAGCGCCACCTAAGGACACAGTGCCTCTCCTTGGAGACACACCAGTGCAACAGCTTTGAATACAGCGTCGATGAAGAACATAGTCAAAAATTTTAAGTCTTTTTCCTTTGGTCTCTTGCATATTTTATAAGTGATCCAGATATAAAATCTTCTGTTAGGCATTAGGCCTTGGTAAAAATCTTAGGATAACTTCCAGAAAGCTTCATACACAGATCACCTTTATAAAAAGGCACTTCATCTTTTTCTGATAACTGTTAAGTAAAAAGGTTTTGTGTGGTTATTGTTTTCTTTAGATCTAAGATAAAAAGAAGTTACAATTTTATGTAGTCCATAGAAATTACTTTTTGATTAAGTACAAAGTTTTCCTGTACATTTATCTTACAGAAATAAATCTTTAAACCTAAAAGCAAAACAAACAAAAACTTACAAAAAAAACAATGATTTAAAGATGGAAAGGAGACAAAAAATACAACTATCTCCTGGTAATATTTAAAGTTAGCCTTGACTCTGCAATGACCTTTAAGTTTTCAAGTATCTCACTTTGTCTTTTACAAAGTTATATAGCAAACAACATGCTAATAACTGCCTTTGGTGGAAACAGAAAGCCCAGGAAAACCAAAGGAAGACGTATGAGAGAGTAAATATTGTGAATTGTCTCCTTGAGATCGTAATCAAAAGTGAGTAATCCACTGTGCTCATTTCTCATCCTTTTCATAGCCAGGAACTGCAACGCATCAAAGGAGGTAGCAAGTATTCTAACTTTCCAAAGAAATGCTTTCTTACCTCCAATCCCTCAGACAGTTTATTCTGAGTCTTCCTTTCTGCCTCCACCATTTACCGTGGAATGCTTGCCCCTGTCCTGCCACCTCCACACACCTCTCCTGAACTCTTCCTGGCAAACTCAGGACACCACTCCTACCTCATCTCACCCGTATCTTCATTCTTATTCTTAGTTGGCATTTGCTTTCTGACTCCAGGTCTTGCTCCATGTATCACCATCTTTCTCAAACACCCTTTCAACATGTAAACAAGACCGTCCAGTAGGAAAACAAAAGCACAAACAGCAGCTGCTTCTGTGAGCTCTTTTGTCTTCCTTTTTCCTCCTCTGTTACACAGCCAAATTTAAGTCACAGTCATCCATTAACTCCTAAAGGCACTCAGCCTACAGCATATTGAAACCCGACCCTGCTTCCCCTTGCACTTGCCTTTTATTGTAGCCAGCTCCTGTGGAGTCTATCAATCAAGGACTAAGAGCTAAAATCAACATTTCAAGTAGAGGTCCCGGTTTCATGAGTTTTCTGAAGCATTTAAAACCTCTTCTCTCCCCTTCCTTGAACCTTTTTTTTCTCAGTCTGTCTATCTATCTATCTATCTATCTATCTATCTATCTATCTATCTATTTAAGATTTCTGTCTCTTCCCCACCGCCGCCTCCCCTTTCCCTCCCCCTCCCCCAAACAAGTCCCCCTCCCTCATCAGCCCAAAGAGCAATCAGGGTTCCCTGCCCTGTGGGAAGTTTAAGGACCACCCACCTCCATCCAGGTCTAGTAAGGCGAGCTTTTTAAATCTTTGTTTTGAATCTGGTTCCTTCCTCCTCCTTCCCCTTAACCTACTGCTCATAGATCCTGCATACTCAGCTTGCCTTTGATCTCTTTATGGATTTCTCTTCCTCCTGGCTTTCTCAATCTTGGCTGTCTTCACATCTCTATCTGTCTTGTGTTATTTTATCAGATTCAGTGATTTTGTTCATTGACTACTAATGGACACAGGTTGCAGCTGATCTGAACACAGTGTTTGGAATATTTTTGGTAGACAACAGTGAGAAAAGAAGCAATGGGGGACTGGCAGTTAGTTACAGGATTTTACCACTATCAAGTAACCAGGACTCAGGTCTCAGATGAAATGCCACCATGCCCATACAACACTGCTCAGGTAGTCAGAGAGGAAACATTCTGTTCACTCCAATGGAAACACATTTTAGGAGCAAAGACTTATTTGACTATGTTAGTTGATATATGACAAACATTATAGAGACTGTCAAACAAACAAACAAACAAACCCACAGGAAGCTGTAGCAGGGATGACAGGAGGTTCAGTGAGGTGGACTGGGTGGACTATTCGTATTGTGATCTGGAATAGTGTGCTCTGCAGATGGATTGAGAGAGACAAACACATGCCAGGAGCTGGTGTATAGAAATGTTTAGGGCAATGAGGACGTGCTGCAGCATTCCAGTGCCAGGTAGAGACTGTTAACCACAGCATAGACGGTTATCCTCAGGTCACTGGTAGTGTGGGTCGTATGGAAACCTGTGTACAGTAGAATTCATCCATTCATCATTTCCCTATGAAAAAATGATGTAGGGTGGGGGATACAGCTCGGTGGTAGATCACTGACTTAATAGTAGACTCACGGTCTCAGGTTTAATCCCCAAAACATATACAAACATGATGAATGTTAAAAGCCCTATATTTAACTATAACTTTACAGGAAAAAGTATCAGAATTACTTTGGGAATAATTATGTATTTTAAGAATACAGTATCCTTTGTTTCATTCCTGTATCAACAAAACTGAAAATTTATATATGTGCCCAGTGTGTTCTTTTAGAATATTGTAAATGTTGTCTATTATAGATACAATTAAACAAAACAATAGTTACAAATACATTTTCCTCACCATGGGGTGGTGGCGGCACATACCTTTAACCCCAGAATTGTGAGGTAGAGGCTCTGTGAGTTCGAGGACTACCTGGTCTACAAAGCAAGTTCCAGGACAGCCAGAACTGCCATATAGAGAAACCCTGTCTCAACACCCCATCCCGCCCCCTTCCATACTGATGTGGGATTTCCTTCTGTATGCTGTGAAAACTATTGGTTAATAAAGAAACTGCCTTGGCCTGTTGATAGGGCATAACTTAGGTAGGCAGAGGGTGGGGGGGTGGGGAGAAAGGAACTAAACTGAATGCTTGGAGAAAGGAGGAAGAGTTAGAGAGAAGCCATGTAGCCCTCCCAGAGCCAGATGGAACTTTACCTGGTAAACACAGATTGATGGAGATGGGTTAAATTAAGATGAAAGAGCTAGCCAATAAGAAGCTAGAGCTAATGGGCTAAGAAGTGATTTAAATAATATAGTTTCTGTGTGATTATTTCAGGGCCAAGCGGCCAGAACGACCAAGCGGCCTTCCTTATAACATTGATACATTATCTTCTTCTAGTAGAGCTGCCATCAATACAATCTTTAATGGATAAATTAACAAGCAAAAATCAAGATCATTTGTCATTAAAAAGCTAAGTATTGGGGTCTAGAGAGATGGCTAAGGAGTTAAGAGGACTAAACTTCTAGAGGACCCAGGGTCTTTTCACAGCACCCACACAGCAGTATATAACGGTCTGTAGCTGCAGTTCTATGGGATCCAGTGGCCTCTTCTGCTACCCACGGGCACTATGTGCATGTGGTACACAGACATTTTTGTAGACCAAACACCCATACTTTTTCTTATATAGTCCTACATACCATATGGTTTATTTAAAGTATGGGAATATATTTTTATTTCGGGGAGTGGCTATTTCATGAGAAGTTTTTGCTTAGTCAGACTGGTGAATCAACAAAATGTGCGCATACCAGTAATTCTCTGCATTCTCTCATGCCATGTGCACTCTGTAATGAACAGCATCTATAACTCTGTCTGTGTGTGTATGTGTGTATGTATGTGTATATTCATATGTATGTCTGTGGATACAGAGGACAACCTTTGTCTGTCATTCCTCAGGAGCTGTCCACTTTATTTTTGAGACAGGATCTTTCACTGGTATGAAACTCATTGAATAAGCAATAATGGCTAACCAGCAGGTCCCAGGCATTCTCCTGTGTCTGTCTTTCCAGCACTGAGATTATATGTGCCCCTACCACACCCAAGTTTTGTTGTTCGTTTTTTTTTTATGAGGTCAGAGTGTGGGTCTCAAGTCTTCATACTCGTGTGACAAACACTTTGCTAACTGATCTATTGTACCAGCCTTACAATTTTTTTTGCATATTTTTTAAAATCAACATTAGATTTTATTCTGTTAATTAAAATATAACTGCATGTTTGAGAGATTTTATTTTGAGAATGTTTATTTCATTTTTTTCTTCTTTTTGTTTTATTAAGGTGTTGGTCTGTGATGTACTGGGGGAGAAGTGTAACCCTTGACACTAGAGAAGCATTTCTGTGGATGGGCTGTCAAGGAGAGCATGGAGGGAGGGATATCAAGAACACAGCAACGGTGGGCTTCAACGTTTCTGCCCTTTTTTTCTGTTCATCCTCATCATTGCTACCTTACCTGGGACTCTGATCACTGAAACCACGGCATTAACAAATACCGTGCTCAAGGTGTTTCTTCCTTCTCTCTTCCTTCTCATGCCCTTTGCTTTTCTTTAGTATCTACCCTGCCAGAAAGGAGATAAGTCAGTCTCAAATATTCTGAAATAGTCATTGCTATTTTATAATAATAGAAGTTTATTTCTTCTATGCTCCTTTCATTTTCTGAGTTATTGTTAGAGGTCATGATATGTGCACCTTTGCATGTGTGATGTGGGATTTCCCTCTGTATGCTGTCTTGAGCCTATAGTAGAGCAGGTCAGAACAGAGCTAGGTGGGGAAAATTAAACTGAATATTGGGAGAAAAAAGGGTGGGGTCAGAGAGAAGCCATGTAGCCCCACCGGAGACAGATGACAGAACTTTAGCGGGTAAGCCACAGCCACATGGCTATACACAGATTTATAGAAATGAGTTAAATTAAGATGTAGAGTTAGCCAATAAGAAGCTAGAGCAAATGGGTCAGGCAGTGATTTAAATAATACAGTTTTTGTGTGATTATTTTGGTTCTGGGCAGCCAGGACGAACAAGCAGCTCTCTCCTCCAACACATGTGTGTGTGTCTCTCTCTTGTGTATGTGTGTGTCTCTCTCTTGTGTATGTGTGTGTCTCTCTCTTGTGTAAAGAAGCACACATAGTAGTGGAGAAGGTGACTACTCAATATTGTGTGCTAAACTGCAAGTTTTGTACAGGTATGTACAGGTCCTTATATTCTGTGTTCACTAGCCCTTCACATGTTAAGTGCTCAACTATTTGCTACAAAACACAACAGCAATAGTAACATTGCAATCCTTTTCCACTGTTTCCTTTTTCCCCAGTCTTTACAAAACAACCAGAACAAGCCTATTAATGCCCATTATTTTCAATGGGGAAGCAGCTTTGGGAGCTTCAGTTATTGACTCAATTACTGACAGATGTCTGTGCAGAGAGCAGACCACAGCGCTCTGTCGGGTGGTAAGTATACTTGGCCATGTGCACCCTGGGACCCTCTGCAGTCTGTCTGGTGGTGAGCTTGCCTGGCCGTGTGCACCCTGGGATCCTCTGTAGTTGCCTCCTTGTCCCTTTCACCAGCTTACGGCTGACTAGTGAGAATACTTCCTTTTTTACTAATTACAAGATACTCGGCTCAGGCTGGAAGTGGATTAGTATTTAACAGTACTTGCTGTTCTAGAATGAGGGCTTATGTTGGGATTCTAGAACCCATGTCCAGTAGCTTATAAATGTCTGTAACTCCAGCTCTAAGGAATCCTATTTTCCACTTCTGGCCTTTAAAGGGACCTGAATGTACTTTATGCATATACATTCACATGGACATATGACTAAATAGTAAAAATAAAAACAATAAAAAATAACACTGTAAGCAATCCAGTACTCAAACACCTGCCTCAAATTCAACAATCACTGATTTATTAAGAACAATGTCCAACATAAATACATAAAAGCAGTGAGTATAAGTGTTTATTCAAGACTTGCTGTGTGGATCTTGCCTTGGAACTTTAGACCAGGTGAACTGATATGCGAGCTCACAGCTCTGATGAAAACAGAACCATCTCTGGGAAGTCTGTTTTAAGATATATATTCCTTGACTTTCCTGGGACATTAATAACTATATTTGTATATTTATTCTGTCCTAGAAATGTAAATATACATTTACAGAGACACCATAAAAGTTTTATTTAACGCTATCAAAAGTAAACGATCACATAATTCTTTACGTGTGGAATTAAAGACAACTTTTGGAGTGAGTTCTCTCCTTCTAGCCTGTGAGTTCTGGGGGTTGAACTCAGGTCACCAGGCTTTGAGGCGAACACCTTTCCCTGCAGAGCCATCTTGCTCAGCCACATTATTCTTTAGTCCAGAATTAAAATCTTGCTTAGCAAAGAAGACCCACATATCAGTGGTTTAATATTTCAAAATGTGATTTGAAGATCATTTGTAAATAGCCTTATATTGTTTTGGAGAATGAGATTGTAAAAAAAAAAAAAAAAAAAGACTAGAGTGGTACACTGGGATCTACATGGCTTGCTAGTGTCAGGAACAATGCGTCTCAGGACTGGCTTTTCAACTCCTTTCTCTTTCCTGACAGGGCTTTCCTGGATGCTGAAGTCATGAGGGGAAGGTTTTGCAAGAGAGAAGCTTTGAGGAAGACACATGGGGAAGAGGATGGGCACTGGGTTGCAAAATCCTGTCAATCAATCAAACCCAAGCCAGGTTTCCCTTAATTCTTCAAATCTTGTATATTTTAAGGAAATTTTTGTCTTAGTCACATACTCTGAAATCATGGAACATTTAAAACAACTGTTTCATATCCAGAAAGGAATTTTGACATTTTTGTTTCTCCCCAAACCCCAGTTGAATCCAGATCTGTATTTCTTCATTAGAAGTTGATTTCAGAATCAAAGACAGAAGTTTATTTTAAAACTTTAAATTGATTCTTCCTAAGCAAATGTTTAAAAGCTGGGCATGGTGGGCATGACTGGATTGCTTGTTCTGGGAAGACCAAGGTGAGAGAGTTGAGAGTTCAAACCCAGCCAGGCATAGCAGAGTGTTGAAAGAGACAAATAAGAGAGTATTTTCACCTAGATAATATGTAATTATGTGAAATTTTTGATCACTTAAGTATATTCAATAACAGAATCTGAGATAGCATTTTTTTTGTTATTTTTTTCTTTTTTTTATTTTTGAGATGGCTTTCATTTGGGGAAATTTGAAATGTCAAATGTCAAAAATCTTTTGTTTTTCAGAGGACAAAATGACCAAGGCAAAATTGTTGGTTCAGAGGTTAAGAGTATTGGCTGCTCTTCCAGAGGGCCTGAGTTCAATTCCCAGCAATCACATGGTGGCTCACAACCATCTATAATGAGACCTGGTGTCCTCTTCTGACATGTACGCATATAAAATTATGCAGCACATTGTATGCATAATAAATAAATCAATCTTTTTTTTAAATATAGAGTTCTTATGGTGGTTTTCTATTTGGAACAATCAGTTAAGTTAACCCAGTTTTATAAGATACCAGTCAATGTTTTATATATAGAACTTTGCTATAAACTATTGGTTTAGGAAGTAGAAAGATGGTTCAGAAGTCAAGAGCATATGCTATTACAGAGATCCCAAGTTCCTTTCCCAGCAGCCATACTGGACAGCTCACATCTGCCTATAACTCCTATTAGGAATCAGGTCTCCTGCAGCCCCTGCCCACAACCCACCTTCAGCCACTCAGTGCCCACAGCCTCATTATCATCAGATGCCAAATGCGACATAAAGCCCCCACCATATAAGATGCTCTCTGTCTGTCTTTCTGTGTCTTTCTTTTGTCCCTACTCAGAGGCTAACCTTGTGTGGCTTCTCTCCCCCAATAAATCTCTTGTGTGCCATCTGTTGCATGGTGTTGTTTCTACAGCATTCCTTGCCCTACCTTCAACCTGCCGAGGTCCTATTCCTTCTACAGAAACCCTAACAACTCCAGTTCCATTGGTGCCTGCCAAACCTTCTTCAAGGCCTCTGAGGCCCAGCACTCATCTATCAAACTAACACACACACATACAGACATATAAAGAAAACTTAAAAATAAAATCTTAGAAAATGAATTAGTTCATATTATCATGGAGGCTAGGAAATCTCAAGGTTTGTGATGACCGAGCTGGAGACGAGATACTAGTTTCAACCTCATTTCCAAACATCTGCACAGACACACCCTGAATAATGACTTGGGCTAATTGCTGCATACCCCATTGCCGAGGCAAGTCGGCACATTAAATTAACAATCAAAATATGTCCCAGCAGGGCATTAGTCATTGGAAATGCCATGCTAACAATATCTGCCCTGTTCTCCAAAAGCTCGGAGTCTAGAACAGGAAAACAAGCATGCAAACAAAGTTTTACAAGGTAAGGTAAATAATATAGAGTCATCCAAGGCACAGAGAAAGGGTGATGTGAGACTAATTAACTCCACTAGGCTGTAGGGAAGTAAGTCCGGTGCCTAATATGGAAAAAAGAAAAACAAATCTTGTTTTTCTTCTTTATGACAGAATGAATATATGGGTCAAATAAATTATTAACAATATTATTTATTCTGCTTCTCTAAGCTTCATAGATTTCTTGACAACTCATTTGGAGTTTAATTATCTGCAAGGGAACTGTTATCATGAATAGTTTGTAGTTTAGCAAAAATGAGATTGAAAATGCTAAATTTTTTTTTTCTTTTCAGTGAATTTCAAATCCAAAGTTACTTTCTCGATTCAAAAGTCTCTGCTCTGGTGGGCATTAATCTAGGTATGGTTGGTTGCACACACCTAGATACCATCATTCAGTATGCAGAGGCAAGAAGATCTTGAGTTCCAAGCAGGACTGCAGAGAGAGTATGCCTCTGAGACAAAACTTAGACTAACTCAAAACTAAACAAAACCAAAACAATACAAACAAATAAACAAACACAGCAGATTGTAAGCCCGTGCCTGTCTCCACATGGTCTGATCATTCTGAAACACTCATCTCAGGCTTTTGGATTTACTCCTGGGACTGGCAATGCCACTGTGGTTTGACCTTCCTATTTCAAATGAGCTTGGTACCTAGTTTTTCAATAAGAAGTGTGGGGGATGATCCGATAGACTCTGGCTCTATTAGGAAAGAAGATTGTTACACGGCCATGGTCATACTAGGTGGGGTTCTTAAATGTAAGCATGAAGACAATATGGTCTTTAATCCCAGCACTTGGTAGGCAGCCAGGCAGATCTCTGTGAGTTCAAGGCTAGCCTGGTCTGCAAGACAAGACAGCCAGGGATGTTACACAGAAAAAAAAAAAATGAAGACAATACAAGGAATGTCCAGCAAAAAAGTCAGGAGCACCTATTAGACAACATACATGTAATCCTAATGTGTTATGTTCAGTTCATGAGGACACCAAAAGACCACTAGGGAGACAGACTCACCGAAAAGTAAAAGCAAGGTTTATTGTGTGCGCAATACAAGCCGGCAGGGACCTCATCAAAAGCCACTGGCACAGCAGCGGCAAGAGGAGATACCCCGCCCTTCTAGAGGGCAAAAACCCAGAAAAGTTACATTAGCAGGCTGTGTGCTGGCAAGGGATCCTATCTACAACAGTCGGAATGTTAGGAATTTCCTTTCGATGGTCTGCTCTTGGGTGGTGCTTGGGTAGTCTCAGTTTGTGGTCTTTATTGGAACCAGGTATAGCCTCAGATAGACTTACTGAGACTCAGGCCTCTTTTGAGCTTGTCATGGCTGGGTCGTACGTGTACAGTCATGCCTTGGAAAACTGTCTCTTAGATACAGTGATGGAAGCAATAACTGAAGGAAAATCTCAAAAGGAGTCAAATACGCCTGAAAATGAGGGATGCTATCAAATGCAGCTGCTGTTCCTGAGATATCTCATTGTATTTCCACCTGTCTGGACTTTGAGTGCTGAGGGTCCCCATGGACGGTTCTGGTCTCGCCTGCTGCTCAGCTGCTCTCCCTGACATTCTGTCCCTAAAGTGCCTACGAGCCACCTAAGAACCTTTTCCCACCATCCAGGAAAGCAGACACTGTCAACTCAGCAAATTTGTTTTAACCTTTAAGAAGGTGTTAATATCACCTTTTGTTAATCCTCTCATACACAATCTGTAGTTACACTACCCACTCATGAACATACACGGATATAAACATAGATGGATATAAAAGTACATATTGTGACAGGGAAGAAAAAGGTAATCAACACGTGTTCCAAATGAGTAGCTGCTGCCGGCAGAGACTGGCAGTGGGGACAAGGTGTGGTTGGGGAGAAGGATGGTGAAGAAATCTGGGTCTGTGTCCCCACTGCAGCATTAGTTACACCCAGCCACCGGCTGGGATGGGACCTTCTACCTCCTGCCTGCCATTTCGAGCCAGTGATCTTTTCATTTTCTGGCCAGTTCTCAGGATGTAAGCCTCTGAGATGATGCTACCAGTCTCCTTTCATGCAAGCCACGGAGATGGTGCTGTTATAGCCTTCTTTTCCAGCCTAGTAGACGAGGCTGCCTGGGACTGCCCCGCAGAGGTGGAAACCTGGAAGAGAGTCCTAGCATTCTAACTTTCCTGGGCTCTCTCTGCCTCTTTTTATGCTTTAAGTACCTCAGTAAGGGTCGTGGAGTGGGCGATGAATATGGTAAGATTATCATGCTATGTTCAAGATTAAAAATTGTATTGTCATTTTACTTCATGTGTATGTCTGCGGCCTTGTGTGTGTCTGGTGCCCAGCAAAGTAAGAAGTGAGCATAGATCTCCTGGGACTGGAGTTCAGACTCTTGTGAGCCACCATATGAGTGCTGAGACTAGAACCCAGATCCTCTAAAGGAACAGTCAATGCTTGGAATCACTGAGTCATCTCTCCAGACCCCTCAGAGAGTTTTGTGAGGGACATTGCATCTTAATCACCAGAACACAGGAAATAGCCAACCAGGGCAAGTGGGAGAAACTTCTGCTTAAGAGATGATCAGCATCAGGGCACTGGAAAATACTTTGAAAATGACTCTACAAACCTTCAGTTTAATTGTATTTATTCTTAGAAATTAAAAAAAAAAATAGAATGCAGAGGAAGAACACAAACAAGCACTTCCTTTCCAGGAAGCAATTGATGGCAGCTGCAAACACTGTGCTCAGCTCAGATTCATGAAAAATACCCACACCCCATGCTTTTCAAAAGTAGCCCTTAATGCTAACAGTGTCTTTCTTATGCAAGCAAATCAATGGGAAATTCATGCTTAGAAAACTGGGTCCTTTGTGAGGTCCAGAGTCAAACTTTTGACTCTGGTAAATGAGTCTTTAGGGGATGACCTTAAATTTACTGAAGCCAGGGGGAAGAAATTAAGAACTATATTAACAATATAAATGATCGTTTTTTAAGCTCCATATGTCTTAGCTTAATTTCTATGACTTATTTTATGGACAACATCTTGATATATCGTGTTAATATCAAGGTTGTCCCAGTCCTTGGTTTCTATGTGATCTGTCACTTCTGTTTAAAATGTTTCTGTGAAACCTGCTTACTCACTGAACTTCTCTGAGAATGTTTTTGGTCTGAAACTTGGAAGTAATAATATTCTCCTGACAGCTATGGGGGATTTTAAAGAAATAATAACGGCAGAAATATTGAGGGAACTGTTTTGGCAGTCCATAAATATTAGGAGAGCAATAACCTAATAGTTTGCTTCTAAATCTGCCTTTTGTCAAGAGCACATTTCTAAGATGTATTTAACATTTTATCTTCATGATGACAAAATCAGTGATCAAAATTATTTTGCTTGTTTGTTTTGAGACAGGGCTTCTCTCTGTAGCTCTGGCTGTCCTGGAACTCCTTCTGGAGAGGAAGCTGGCCTTGATCTGCCTGCCTCTGCTTCCCCGAGTGCTGGGATTAAAGGCATGCCCTTCTACCTCCTGGCAAGTAAAATGTCTTTATTAACTTGTTATAAGATGTATGTCTTGACTTCTTTGGGTGGTACCTTAGATCCTATTTTTAATTGAAGGGTTCTTATAACTAGAGGGGAAAAATCATGATTAAAGGCAAATTAACATAAAAAAATAAATTTTATTAATGAAGAAAATTTAAGAGTAAATGTCAATTATTTTAAACCTTGAGTTTCAGGAGTATAGGTGTAAACCCAAAATGTTTGGATAAAGAAAAGGAGAGAGAAGTATTTTATTTTTTCCTTCAGAGATGTTGGAGTTCTTTTGCAGTCTTCTTGTGACCAGTAACATAGCAAAGTTGGAAACCAAGGGCAAATCCTACCCTGGGAACTGTCGGTTTTTACCTCCTGATAATCCTCTTTTTCTTAATTCTTGTGATGAAATGCTGAGTCCCACTATTTCCTGGATAGGAGGCTGCTGGGCATAGAGAGAATTTGTTTAGACAGGCAAACTGGCAAGCTGTTGAAACTCTTGGGTAAAAACGCATTAGCATTTCCCATGGCTGCTATCTCATTAATTTGAAGAAATGCAAGTTGCTAGTTTGAGTCTGATCATTAAAAGGCTTTTAGTGAATCTCTGTGTGCTATTCTGGTAAAACAAAACAACAAAAATCCACAAGTGTTGTTTCAAGGTGTAATACCAAGCAATTTTGATAACGGCGTCCATGCATCCGCTAAGTCCACAGAAGCCCTCCTGTTCTGATTTGCCTGTTGTTGGAGGGAACTGCAGAAACAAGCTAGCCTGTGCTGTAGGCCAGAAGGACCTGGAAGCACCAGAGAAGGCAACCAGTTCAGGTCTGGTTCAGATCAAAGGAGTCTGGCA